GAGCCAGATGGGAAATCTCTGCACTTGTTGTAAACTTAGAACTGCTCTAAAAAAAAGAAAGGTATTAAATTATGGTAACTATCTGATTTTTCACCTTGGCCATTTCTGCTTAGACATGCCATATGAGTATGATTTTTATTGAGAGGTGCAGCATTTTAAATGCAGCTACTAAATAAAAAGCACAAAAATCTGCTGAGTGTTATCAGGAGGACACTAAAGGGACTTCAAATAAATCCCAGGTTCTTAGGGAACTGGGCTCCACCCCATGCCTGCCTCTATAGGAGCAAACTCAAAATATACTACCAGTTTCACTGTCCTGTGAGTAAAGCTTCCAGAAAGCACTGTAATCCAAAACCTTTAAAATTCTAAAATTCATTCATGCATAACTATGTGTCTTGTATTTGTGCATAACTACATATTGATTTGTATTACTCATTTAAAACATATTACCTTCTGGAGATGTTTTTGTAACTGCGTATTTATTTTATGCAAATGGATATTAAGGATGGCCTTTAGATGCATGGGTCCAGGTAAATGACCAAATAGCAGCAGCAGAGAAGAAACACTATAACAACCAGTGTCAACTCAGAACCCCCATCTGAAAGTCTTCAGAATGATTTCCTATGCATGACCTCATTCTCAGCCCAGTGAAAAGCCCATGAAGTAAATTAAGAATCACTATAAACCCAAGTATGCATTAGGAATAAGGGACCACTTTCCCTTAACTGATCTGTGCATGCACATGGTGCTTTTGTACAATTATGTATCATGGATAGTATACCTCCAAAGTCTCTTGAATCTTACTCCTTCTCCACATTGCCACAAAGGTCATGCTGTGTTTGACCCTGTTCTGGTTTAAATGTATTCCCAAAAGTCCATGTATTGGAATTTTAATTCTTTAATACAGTCATGTTGGGGTGATCCTTAGTGACTGGTGTATGGGCTCTGGGGACAGAGCCCTCAAAAATGCCTTTCTCAGAAGACTTGGTTAATTCTCAAGAGACTGGATCAACTACCTCGAGAAGCAGTTATAACCCAAGGCTGCCCCTGTGTCCAGCCTCTTCTGCATGGGCACACTTGCTCTTTTGCTTTCTGCTCTGAGTTCAAGCAACATGAAAGCCCTCACTAGAATCTGAGAGGATGCTATGACCACGATCCTGGACTTTGCGGCTCCTACACCCAGGAGCCAAAATAAACCTCTTTCTTTATAAATTATGATCTCAGCTATTTTGTTAGAGCAACAGAAAATAAACCAAGAAAGATCTCCGTGTCCTTGCCCAAACTTTCCTCTCTAGCCTGCCCCACATTCGAGGCTTTTGTATCTTCTAAATATAGATCCTGAACTTCCCGCTCCTGCTCAGAAATTCACCATGCCTTCCCACTCTCTACTGAGTGCTTTACCAAGGGGATAGCCAAATAACTAGAACAGACCACAGTGGATATGGCAAGCCCTCTCAAGACCCATGTTTTATCTTTAAAACATATGCACATTTTTTCTTCATTCTAATCTATAATTCATACTTATTGGATTTAATAAAAACCCTTATGGTTAGAATGCTTCCATTTCTAGGAAACCAGGTTCTGGCAAGCTAGTCTTGTAGTTTTACAAGACTCTGGCTTGCTACCTTCTCATGCACAGTCTGCGACACACAGGTAGAGCACAGGTCTGCATGTGAACTCTATAGCATATTCAAGATACCTTACACACTAGCACTTTCTATCAGAGAAAATCACTTTAAAAAAAAAAGAATACAGACTAGAAAAGGGGTTGATAAAACTACCAATGGTTTGATCAATATTTTTGAACTTTTAATAAGCATAAGCATATAAGTCCTGAGAAGTCTTGCCACCAAACCTGAAGCAAACATCAACAGAGACAGGATTCCATGCAAATACCTAGTTGGAGGCAGAGAGCCAGGATCTTATGGAAACATCTCGCTAAAGGCAAGATCCAGGATTTCATGGAAACACCCTGCTGAAGGTGTCTCCTCCCTCACATTTACAATGCTCTGCTTCCATTACCTGGGAAACAAACTCCTATCGGAAATCCAACCTCTTGCTTTTGAAACCACTCCAGCCACTGTCACTGGGAATAAACGTTTCCCACCGAACATGTGCAGGTTTTGTCTACAAACTATGCTAAATTCCATCACATAAGGAAATCTGAGATTTACTCCTTGGTCTTAGAGCTAGCCAGATCGTGTCGCCTCTAAAGGTGGAAGTCCTCTCTTATTCATTTATAAATTCTCCGAAACTAACACTGGGGGCCCCACAAACACAGGTAGAATAAGCTGATGGTGAAAACAACCCTGCATGAAATGTGTGTGTGTGTGTGTGTGTGTGTGTGTGTGTGTGTGTGTGTGTGTGTGTGTCTGTGTGTGTGTGACACTATATGCCATCTCCACATCCCTGGAGGCAGGACATCTATGCTTAAAACAGGAGGGGTAACGACAATAATAAATCAGGGGACAATCAACCCTGGTCTATGGAACAACAGATCAAAATGAGCAAAATGACCCCCTAGCACTGAATTTGTAAAGAGATTACACTAGCCAAGACTGCAACTCACAACCCTCTTGAGAGCTGGTGTCTCTGTCCAGAGTGCTGAGATTTCAGCAAGAAAGACCTGGCTCTTTTCCAAAAGCGGGCAGAGCCAAGCAGGATTGGAATACAAATGTTTGCATATTTCCTTATGCCTGATGTAGAAACCTCCTTCTCACCCAGAAGCTTAGGACTGCCACATTCAATCAGCTACAGTTCATCCAGTTGACTCTGTTCTGAAAAAAATAAGTTACCAAGTCAAAAAAACCCAGCAGCTTATGATGGGGCAAGGGCATGTAAACTCACACCAGGTGAGTTTTCCTGAGCAGACTGCCTGTAGTCTTTGGGCGTCCTTGGGCAGGTGACCACACCTCTCTAGGAATGGCCTTCATGACCTCTGAGGAATGACTGCATAATTAAGATGGAGCAAGGCTTCAGCAAACCACCAGCTTGTGGCAGGAACCTCTCTTTGTTAATCCTCTCAAAACCCATGAAGTGGATATGATTGTTCTCCTTCTACACATGAGAAAGCAGAGCCGAGAAAAGCTAAGTAGCTCTCTCAAGGCCACTCCACAAAGATGTAGCACTGCCTAGTAGAAAGTTCAGTATGTGCACAGCTAGATCTGAGGCCAAGGTGAGGCCATGACTTTGCCAAACCTTACCCTCCCCTTGACCTCTGCTCATGACTCTCTTCACATGCATTTTTCTAACACTGATATGGTAACGACATAAAGGTGTATGATTTGTTGTTGTTTTTTTCTAATTTCCTAACATAACTAATTTTTTCCACATCATGAATCCTATTTTACACCATAACTTTTCCTAAGAGTCAGCAAGCCTTACTAACAGGTTAGCCAGATTTGCTAAAAGTTTTTCAATGGCCTTAGAAAGCCTGCTCCGCCTCACACAAGCCCCACAGCTGAGTGCCCCAGCCCCCATACCATAAAGCTTACTACCACCCAGCCAGAGGCTGCTATGGAGCATACAATGAGGTCGGCTGGCCAAAGCAGAGCCTGGGCAAGTAGAAGCTGAGGAGAGCATCTTACTGTGTGACTCCTATGGAACATGTTAACCTAGCTACCTGACCCTTCCTTCTGTAGTTTTTGCATGAAAAATAACGGTAATTGTGTATCTGGTCTTGGGGAATCTGTAAGTTACTCATACATAGTCTTTAGCTCCTCACAATGGCCAGTGAAGTACTTCGGTGTCCATTCTGTTAACAGAGGCGTCAAGGCGCAAGTGTTCACGAAACTTCTCAGTCAACCATCCCGAGACCAGCAAAGTCAGAAGCAACAAAAACAACTTCTCCACCACTTAACTGCTCTGCAGTGCCACCCCACCCCAACTGCCCAGGAGCCTCTGCGCCTCCTCCACTTCACAGCTTTCTACCTCCACTTCTCTCTGATCTACACTCTGCTCCAGGACAGAATCTCCCTCTCACTGGCCGTCACTCTGACCCACAACCAACAAGATCTCTTTGTCTTCCTTTCCTGAAGCCTGTGCTCTGTAAACTTAGAAAACAATTGTCCATGTGACAGCAGCTGTCTTTACATCTCTCATGATAAATCCCCTACATTGCCCACAACTACTTAATAAAGCAGGATCCTGCCACAAGAGGAAATGCAGGTGTAACGGGTATAGTATGGGGACAGAAGCCACTCATCATGACAGCTAGATTAAGAGGAACAGCATAGGAGCCATGCCACTTTACCTAAGCCCCTTTAGTGGTTTTCTGCACTTCCTACTTGGAGTTGTGGTTATTTTGGTACCTCTCTCCTCCCACAGTAGTTCCTCCTGATGAACATAAATACCCCTTTGCTCCACCCTTACCCACTACAAGCCTTGTATAGAACAGATACCGGAACACTTTCTAAGTATTGGCACTGTCTGAAAAAAATCCACCTATGAAAAATCATACAAGTAGCCTAGTGAGCAGAAAGAGAGAGAAAGAGAGGGGGGGGAAAAAAGCTGACACAGATACTGCAGGGGCGTGTCGCCTAAATCTAGTTGCTTTGCTGCATGGGGTCCAGGCGACTGCTATCAGCTGCCTGCCTGGAATCCTCCAAGAAGGATCGCCAGCACCCGTTCTGTGCACAAAATAAAAACAATGTCCATCACCGTAATGGGAAGGGTTCTAAACACCCACAGCTAACCTTCTATCCAGACAGATGGGCAACGGAAAGACCAGGCCCCCGCCAAAGCACTACGCAGTCACTAATGAGAGAGAAAAGCCTTTAAGAGACTAAACTATACCGGGCGGGCGTAGGACTGCACTAGTTTTCTCTCTAAGGAAGACCGAAAGTGACCAAGGCAGCTTGTTCCTGCTACTGACTCCCAACTCGGGACACTTTGGCCCGGAGTTTCTAGAGCCCACGCACAGGTGGCTGGGGGCTCCTGCCCGGCGCGCCGCCCGGTCCGGGACAGGAGGGTGTGCGGCCCGAGCGCCACGCCACACTCACCACATCCATGATCTGCAGGAGGCTCAGGGAGAAGTACACGGTGAGCGGCTGCGAGTCGTTGGCCACCGGCCTCTCCAGCGGGTTGTAGTTCTTGACCAGCTCCTTGTACAGCCTCCTCTGGAACTCGCCTTGCAGGGACACTTGGGAAGCAGAGCGCCCAGCGGGCCTCAGCGCGCGGCCGCCGGCCACCCCGCCCCGGAGCAGCCCAACCCCCGAGCCCGGCCGCAACCCGGGACCACCCGCCCGCCGGCTCGCCGGCTCGCCCGCCCGCCCGCCCGCCCGCGCCTGCTCCGGGGAGTCCGCCGGGGGAGTGCGGTCGGAGCCGCGCCGCGGTTACCGTGCAGCAGCGCCGCGGCCAGAACCAGCCAAATGCTTCCCCGTCCGCCGCACATGTCGCCGGAGCTGCCGCCGGGTCCCGCCGTCCGCTCCGGGCCCGAGCAGCCGCTCCTGCCGCCTCCGCGCCTTTAAAGCGCTGCGCGCGCCCGCCGCCGCCGCGCGCCCCCACACGTGACAGCGCGCCCCCGGCTCTCGGGCGCTCGCAGGGCCGAGCGGCTCCGCGGCCTCCCGGGGAGCTGCATCCCTGCGCAGCTAGTCGCTGGCCTCTGACCCCGCGCTGCTGGCTCCTGCTCTCAGCTGCGCGCTGTACTCGCTCCCTGAACAGTCCCCCACGCCACCCATCCACCCAGTCCTCCAGGACGCTCTCTGGTGCCAGCATCTGCGTCACAGGCTTCGGAAGTTTCTCCGGCCAGACAAGGTAGACGAGGGAGGAGTAACCCTGGACGTTCCCGGCAAGACCTGGTTGTTTTCAGGGACCAGCTCTATTTGGGCTTCTTTCTGAGGCTTTCTATGGGAGAGGGGAGCAGGACAAATATATGGCGTGATGTTCCCAGCTGAGAGCCTGATCTAGTCTCATTTTCTTTTAAAATAGGATCGGAAGATTGAAACCTTAACTCCAAGCCATTGCTGGAAGGACAAGCCAAAACTTGGTTGTGTAGGCCTTTTTTTGACTCAAAGGACAGTAAATGAACAAGGAGAGGTTGAGGGGGACCAGCCTCAGAGACCCTGGCCCAGAGGGATCTTCTTCATTGTGATTCTGGGAAGGTAGGAAGGTTCTGAGGAGAGCCTTCAGAAGGGAGGAATGCCGTGCCCCAATTATCCCCGGAAGCACAGTACAAAAAGCCCACCTTGAAGATTACCCTGCATTCCCTTAGGAGGTTCTGTCCCCTGTCTTCCCACAGATTCCAGAGTATCTGGGCCATCAGAGTGCCACTCCCATGGATTAGACGGTATGACACTAAAAATGACGGACAGACTTATCAAAAAGGGACTAAGCTGGAAGGTACCCCAGTCATGGGAATTGGGTAGTGAGTCTAGCCACTCGGCTTGCAGGAGCAATTTCATGCAGGACCCTTGTAATGAGTATGTTGATGCACACCCATGCTGTTTACTGATATGAGTATTAAGTGTCAATATAAACTCTGACAGCTTCAGAGTAAGCGCAAAGAAAGAAAACTGACTGGTTTTGGAGAAGGTTCGTAGAAAAAGAGGACAGCGGACCAGGGCTCCCCTCCAAGGAGAAGCAGTATTCCACAGGGGAAAGGGACAGCAGGCAGAAGCATCTGGCACACAGATGGGTATACATCTGGTTCCTGGGTACCCCCCATCCCATCTCCAGCAGTGGGACATCACAAAGTAGGCACTTAGTGAAGGAATGAGCTGCAAAGTATTAGCTGCTAGCCAAAAAGGAAAGAAGGGAAATAAGAACAGCAGAGAGGGGGAGGCACACATCATTAGCTGGGAGCTTCTCCCTGGCAGACCATCTGCATTGATGCTAGAGTCACAGGGCTCACTCTCCTACACTCACTCTTCAAGTGCCCAAGAGCCCTGGCAGAGGGATGAGCCTCTTCCCCTGAGTGTGGCCATTGGGAACACATTACAAAAACTACAACTACATACTTACTGAGTTGGGGAGTCACATTTAAGAGCCCAAAACATAGCATTAATGTTGTACCCTGTAAGATCAGAAGCCTAGAAAATAACCATCTTCGGATGGGACAACTGGTCAATACCTGTTTATGCCCTGTGCTTGGCCAGACAACCTGGAGGATCTGCAAACCCAGTTAAGGGACTGACTGGGTTGCTTCTAAGTTCTGAGGTGTTAGTATCCCTAATGCCAATAAGTAGGACTATAAGTCCAGCTATACTAGTGTTTTCAGTGAGACCCAGTTATTTTCATTTGTAAAGTGTAAAATGATCTGAGAGTAGAACCTACTGGGATATGTAGGCTTACTTCTTAATCCCTTTCTCAGCATAAAGAAATGGTAAACCTAAAAACAGAAATATACTGTGTCCAAGCTCATAAAGGCTAGAATTGGAAACAAACCCCGTGTACCCCCACAAGCTGATGTTGCTGCTGTAGCCTAGGGAGAGGCAGATCAAGGTCAAACTCAAGGGTGGAAGTCTAGACTCTTAATGCAGTCCCTCAAGGAAACCGAACCTTGTGCTTATGAGAGGTAGAGAGCTGGGATGAAGAGTTCTTCATAAATCCACAGACCAAAACAAAGCACTCTTTGTGGTGATATATTGTGTACCCTAATAAAATCTGCCTGAAGATCAGAGAACAGAACAAGCCACTAGATTAAACATAGATGCCAGGCAGTGGTGGCACACACCTTTAATCCTAGCACTCGGGAGGCCAAGATCCATCTGGATCTCTGTGAGTTCAAAGCCACCCTGGACTACATGAGATTGATTCAGTCTAGGAGAGAAACAGAGCCAGGCAGTGGTGGCACACCCCTTTAATCCTAGTACTTGGGAATCATACGCCTTTAATCCCAGCACTTGAGATCTCATGCCTCTGCTACCAGTATTTGGGAAGCACACATACCTTTAATCCCAGCACTAAGAGGGAAGTAATATGGCTGGGCAAGGAAAGGTATATAAGGTGTGAGGAGACAGGAACTAAAGCCCTTTTCGGCTGGAGGCCTTTCAGCTGAAGACTCAGAGACATTCAGTCAGAGGATTCATGGAGTTGGCAAGGTCAGAAGTAGCTGTGGCTTGTTCCTTTGTCTCTCTGATCTTTGAGCATTTACCCCAATATCTGGCTCTGGGTTTTTTATTAGAAGACCAGTTAGATTTCGTGTTACAGCCCTTCTGTGTAAGAGACTAGAAAACCTCTACTGTATCCCAGGGAAAAGAGAGGAAGCATGTTTTCTACTTGGATTCTGGGGAGTGTAATCCTGCAACTAGCCACAGTGTATCAGGCACAAGGCAGATCCAGATGTCAAGAGCCTGTGCTGTTTATATTGGAGGATTCTTTCTCTAGTGTGTGTGTGTTGGGGGAGGACTTTACAGCTTCCCACACAAGACTCCAAAAGAAGATCACATTGAGTTCAAATTACAAAATGAAAAGCAAGGAAGGAGATCTGGCTCTGCCAGTTAAGAGCTTTCATTGGCCGATGTGCCAGAGGACTCACGTTCAATTCCTAGCAATCACATGGTACTTCACAATCTGGTGCCCTCATTTGGCCTCTTCAGGCACCAGGCCCACATGTAGTGCATAGATTTACATGCAGACCAAACACCCATACACATTAAATAATAAAATTTTTAAAAATAAAAAGCGTCCAAGTGAGTAGACAGCACCTAAGAGGAGCTACAGTCAGCATTAAAGCTGAGACTACAAGAGAGTAATTAGGAAAGATACTGTGGTGGTTTGAAAGAGAATAGCCCCCAGAGGCTCATGGGAAGTGGCACTATTAGGAGATGTGGCCTTATTGGAGTAGGTGTGGCCTTGTTGGAGGAAGTGTGTCACTGGGGGTGGACTTTGAGGTTTCAGAAGCTCAAGCCAGGCCCAGGCGTGCTCTCTGTCTCTCTCTCTCTCTCTGTCTCTCTCTCTCTGTCTCTCTGTCTCTGTCTCTGTCTCTCTCTCTCTCTCTCTCTCTCTCTCTCTCTCTCTCTCTCTCTCTCTCTCTCGCTCTCTCGCTCTCTCTCGCTCTCTCTCTTCCTGCGGCTTGTCAATCCAGATGTAAAACTCTTAGCTACCTCTCCAGCACCATGTCTGCCTGCATGCTGACCGTGCTCCCCTCATAATAACAATGAACTAAACCTCGGAACCATAAGCCAGCCCCAATTAAATGTTTTCCTTTATAAGAGTTGCCATGGTCGGGGTTGGGGATTTAGCTCGGTGGTAGAGTGCTTGCCTAGCAAGCGCAAGGCCCTGGGTTTGGTCCTCAGCTCTGAAAAAAAAAAAAAAAAAGAGTTGCCATGGTCATGGTGTCTCTTCACAGCAATAGAAACTCTAAAACTGAACTCCAACAGTTTTAAATAATAGAACGATTTTTTTTAAGATTATAAAAATTAGAATGTGTAAAATGCCGACATATTGATCATGATAGATAATGTCAATGCTCCCTTTGGCCTAAAACTGCTGGGATGTATTCCTAACCTACATTGTAGTGGAAGAATTGGCATGGCTTTCCTGGGTAGGGACAGTCTTCTCTGTGTCTTTTAGGGATGCAGGAAGCTTTAATTAAGTAGAGAGAAAATATAAGACAAAGGCAATATCCAAGAACAAATTCTGAAAACTTTCTCACTGACAAGAAACATCAAACCACAGGTCCCCTTGATCATAGATTTGACTCCTGCTAGTTTTTTTTTCTGAGTTTTAAAGGATTTTTCCTTCTATTTCTACCTGGAAGAAAGAATGCTATATAATTTTTACTTCTTAAAAATTTCATTATCTAATTCTGGTCAAGAATGAAGATAGCCTCATGAATGAAATTGGGAAATACTCCCAGTTCCTCCATATTCTGAAATTGATTATAGATGATATTATTTCTTCTTTAAATGCTGATGAGGTTGACAAATGGAGTTGTGTGCCTTGAGTTCTCTTTATGGAATTTTTGAAATTATCTTTAGTGTCGTATGATGTATTTCTGTCACACATGGCACACGGCGTATACATTGGTCATTCACAGCTTCGTGAAGCTAGTTCTCGCCTTCCACCTGTATCCGGCCACCAGGCTTGTGCACCCTTATGGGCCCTCACTGCCCCTACATTTTTTTTTGTTTGTTTTAAGTTAACAACAAAGTTTAATAGCTATAGAATAACCCAGAGTTTCTATTTCATCCTGGAAAGGTTTTACTACCTGTAGTATTTTGAGAATTTCAGCTGTTTCATTTAAGTGATCAGATATTTGGGGCCTAGCATTATGAGGCTCCGTTGTTGCCTTCATTCGGTCTGCAAGCCATGGAGTCTTACCTCCTTTTCATCCCTGTGTCTAGTCATTTGTTTCCCCATTTCTGTTCTTAATTACACTTGCTGGGGTCTATCAGTCTTCTTAATCTTCCCTGATAACAACATTTTCTTTGTTAATTTTCTCACCTTTTTCTTTTATTGGTTTTCATCTCATGCTTATCATTGCCTTTATACTTACTATGAATTTAATTAGCTTTTCTTACACAGTTCTTAATGAATACACTGAGATCATTGAGCTGAGATTTCCTTTG